TATTTACACACTTTCAACCAGGGCCCACGGGTACAACCTGCACCGGGGCCCCGCAAACCCCAGCTATGGCTCTGACTACAGTCAGTAAGGTTTTTGAGTTAAAAGTGCCAATAAGGTATTCCAGCATGCATATTTATGAAAAGAAAGAGGCTGTCAAGTGATACAATCTCTACCTAACCATTGATCGCGCACATCCGCCACGTTTGTAGTTTTTCTAACTAACTGTAGTTTTTTGTAGTTTTATTTGTGTTTGTAGTTCTGGACCGAATCCTTCGCCAAAGCACAATAGATTGTGGGCAACTTTAGCCATTAGAGTGTGCACGGATCCACACTTCAAAAATCGACCTGAAATAGTAGACCATCCGGGGATTTTTGGCATACTCTTTTCAACATACTATGCTTTGGGACACACTTATTCTAATCTCACATACTATTTAGGATGGATAGTATGAACATCGAGCCGCAGGGCTGGTCTGCTATTGTCGGTGTGAGTTGCTGATAAGTGTTACCTCCTGTGTTTCTTGTGATCCTTTCTTGGTTCTATCATGTATTTTGGATGTATATCTCTGTGGATTATCATTAAAGGATCTTAAACTGCATTTGGACCCGCTGCCTGTTGCCTACTTGTGCTCATCCGTAACAACATATATATCAGTGAAAGACCAGTTAGAATAAATTGTTCCAAAGAACCATAGAAAGATAACTTGGGATTGCTTCTGCAGATAAATGAGTTTGACACTACCAAAATTATATTTAACATAAATATGTTTTTAGACATATATTTAATTGGTATTTAAGGTTAGTATTTATTTATACACATTTTGTTCCATTCTAAGCTTCTATGACGATGAAAACAAGTATATCAAGTTTGTTAATGCAAACACTTCTACTGTAGACATTCTATTTCAATTTCCTTCTGGAATGTATCATACAGCACAATTAGCTTTGCCACAAAGAGCATTAGTGTAAACTTTCATAGTTTGGTTTTTCTTTCAGGTCGGCTGTTGTTATGGTGGCGCAACATTTTTGAAGATAATTTTTCTGAGCTAGTTAAACAACCAACATTTTTTGTAGCTAGCTATTGTACTTTGGTTTAATAGCACAACTGAAGGTAAACATCTACAGCCCTGTAAATCCCTCAGAGAACCAGCTGTAGTCTCCTGCTCACATTACTTTCCTCTAAATTCACTCCAGGAAAGTGTTCCTTTGGCTTCAGCCAGTCAATTAGACTTTATCATGTGCATTATAATGTGTATTATAATTATCAAGCACTTACTCACCTGTGATCACTGCTAGCGATCCTGCAACACTTATCTATTTTCCCTCCCTCTTTGTGTTCAGAGAAGTAAACTGAAGTTTAAGCACTTTTGAAATATTGAAATTTCTGGGCTGTAAGTGAGGTCTACTGTGACCTGATTGTATCATTTGTTGTAATGTGGGACAAAGTGGTGATTGATTACAGCTGCTTCTCTTGGGCTTTTGAGTCAATCCTATTATAGCAGACCGCAGATTGTTAGATTCTCATTCTGTCCTTGTCCGCTGAAGGAAGCCTCTTTTATAATTATTTAATTTGTACTTTAAACAAAATGCTGACCTGTCTGTCTTTCTGCCGGTGAATGAGCACTGATTAAATAGAAAAGATTCAGACTCACCCCATATAGCCATGAAGATAGCAAAGAAGACTGTGCCTCCATTATCAAAAAGATAGGTCACCTGGTGGACAGAAAAGAGGCAATGCATGTAAGAACGTATAATTAGAAAATTAGTTAAATCTGCATGAACTGATAGAAATGTATACCTCGAATGCAATGTAAATCTTTTTTGATAAAAGCATTTGCCAAATATGTAAATGTGTTAGTGCAACTACCTCATGGTTAGGTTTAGGTGTGGAGTTAGGGGTGCAGGTTCATGCTTTTTTTAAATTAC